TGGTGTATAGCTGGCGTGGATGGAGGAAGCTGGCTGGGACTTCTGCTGGTCTGAAGTGCTCACTGGAAAGCAGCCTTGAACCACAACGTCTAGAATCATTACCTCACCAGGAGGAACTGACGCGTTTCTGAGCATGCACGAAGACTGCAACGGACAGGCACACTCCTTTCTCCATCAGCTCCATCACCAGCTTCCTCTGTCCCCTCCAGCCATGCACCTTGGTTCCTGCATCGTCTATTCCCTGTGGAATGGCGGTCCGGTCAATGACTTTTATTAATGAGCCGGCTATCTTAATATACATTTCAGTTGCCTAACTCTTTTGATATTAAAGTTACTTAAAAGTCTACACTTAGAGGTGCTGTTTTATTGCCCTTTCCATTTTCACATCTACACTGACTGTGTTCATGGGGAAAATCGAGTGATTTTCTTTCCTGTAACCTGTGGTTGCAGGAAAGAAAACTGTATTGTCTATGGTCAGTTTTAGGCTATCTCAGTTGCTTCTGTCAACTCATGTAATCCCAGACAGACCAAGTTATGTTGGGATCAGGGCTCTGTAGGAACCATACTCACCTAGGACTACTTGTTCTTATTTTTGCTAAATATAGTTCTTTATGACTGGCTGTATGTTTGCGGCTGTTCTGCTGAAGAATCAATTTGGGACTCAGACACATACCTGATGGTAATGCATGATGGATAAATGTCCGCACTTTTCAGAATTAAGGAGACCATTACCTCTGACCAAATCCCCAATTCCATGCGCAGAAATGCAGCACCAAACCATCAAGGAGCCTCCATAAATTTGTCTGTTGCCTGCAGACATCAGTTCTTGTACCACTCTCCAGGCCTTTGGCAAACAAAAATGCCTTCAGTTACAGTCATATAATTCTCAATTTTCACAAGCAGCTAAAACTACAACATTTTATAGTCTGTATATATATATATATATATATATATATATATATAGTACATATCTATATATTATACCATCTGCATACAGGAAGCCAAAGCTAGCCCAGTCTATGTTTAATAAGTTCACATAAAACCTGGATGATGGTTGTTTGAGAAGGAATCGTAAAGTGACAAATAAGTTAATTTCAGTAATTTTCATGTCAGTGGGTGATGAAGTGTATTCTTTAGTTTAAGTTTTCTTTATAAACCAAAAAGGAGCTTTTCTCCATTGTAACTTTACAATGTATCCCACTAAAAAAAAAATTGGGTTGGTCAAGACAAGCTAAACTGCATATAATGGTAAACCACCAAAACGTTCTATAACAGCTTAAACTCGGGCCACAAGGTAAGCAAATTTAATAGCATAATATACAGTCATTATTTCTAAAGGATAAAATAATCACTGTACAAGACAACCAAAAATCTAGCTGCAAATAAAAGCCTTTGCTTTCACAAGGAAACAAAGCCAACAATAGAAGCCTGACACGAGTCTGCAAGTTTCTTCTTTTGCTGCCCTAGGTATGCAACTTGTACAGCTACCATAATCTTAAAATTGCTACTTATTCTCAACCATCTAGCAATAATGTAAAACACAACAGGACACAAATTTAAAATTTGATGTCGTGGTTAATATAAAGCCCTATACAACTTCTTCAAACTATTAATTTTAATTTCACCGTTTTACATGAAAGGCTTTAACATGAAACTACAATGGTTTGAGGTAAATTTTATTAAGAGCATAAGAAAGGGCCTTGTGATTATTTGTCCTTTTTTTGAGGGAGAAGAGGCTGGTTGGAACTACTATGAATAGTTAGATTGAGCTGAAGATGAAATAGTGCACTGAAGAAAAACAATGCCGAAAACTATAGCGAAAGCCATGGTGATGTTATACAACTTTGTGCCCACTCTACCAATGTGTCCAAAGGATACTGCTATGACCTGCTACATTAGTCAATATTCCAAAAGGTTGGCTACTAGAATCAGCAAGGGGAGGGGGATATTGCTAAGGTTGGAGCTCAAATCAAGGCTTTCTTGGTCTCCCTATACAACCCTCTGAGAAGGCTATGGCTGTACTGCTAAATTGTAGGGTCTGGCCTGTGAGAAGTAGACAAAATGGTCCTGCTTTGTATTGTAGTTTTTTTTGGAACAGATCCACATGTAGACACTGTTCAAAAAATGAAAGAAACACTTTGAAAACACATCTAATCTCAATGAGGAAAAATCTCATGCTGGATATCTATACTGATATGGACTGGGTAAAGTGTTAGGAACGTAAGGATGCCCCATCGTTTGATGGAAATGAAAATGATCAACCTACAGAGGACTAAATTCAAAGACACCCCAAAAAATCAAAGTGAAAAATGATCCAGCAGGCTAGTCCATTTTGCAGAAATTTCATTGCAGCAACTCAAAATGGTACTCAGTAGTTTGTATGCACCCACGTGCTTGTATGCATGCCTGACAATGTCGGGGCATGCTCCTAATGAGATGATGGATGGTGTCCTAGGGTATTTCCTCCCAGATCTGGACCAGGGCACCACTGAGGTGCAAACTGGAGTCATTGGATGGACTGAAACAGGATATCCCAGAGGTGCTGTACTGGATTTAGGTCAGGCGAGCGTGGGGGCCATTCATTGGTATCAATTCTTTCATCCTCCAGGAACTGCCTGCATACTCTTGTCACATGAGGCCAGTCATTGTTGTACACCAGGAGGAACCTAGGACACACTGCACCAGCATAGGGTCTGACAATGAGTCTAAGGACTTCATCCTGATACCTAATGGCTCTGTGCGTCCCTCCATGGATATGCTTCCTAGACCATCACTGACCCACCACCAAAACGGTTATGCTGAACGATGTTACAGGCAGCATAACTTTCTCCACGGCTTCTCCAGACTCTTTTATGTCTGTCACATGTGGTCAGGGTGACCCTGCTCTCATCTGTGAAAAGCACAGGGCGCCAGTGGCGGACCTGCCAATTTGGGTGTTCAATAGCAAATGACAATCAAGCTCAATGGTGCAGGACACTGGCAGTGAGCACAGGGCCCGCAAAGGAAGTCGGGCCCTCAGGCCACCCTCCTGAAATCTGTTTCTGATTGTTTGGTCAGACACATTCACACCAGTGGCCTGCTAGAGGTCATTTTGTAGGGCTCTGGCAGTGCGCATCCTGTTCCTCCTTGCACAAAGGATCAGTTCTACTGATGGGTTAAGGACCTTCTACGGCTCTGTCCAGCTCTCCTAGAGTAACTGCCTGTCTCCTGGAATCTCCTCCATGCTCTTGAGACTGTGCTGACAACACAGAAATCCAGCCAATGGCACAGACTGATGTGCCATCCTGGAGGAGTTGGACTGCCTGTGCAACCTCTGTAGGGTCCAGGTATCGCCTCATGTAGTGACAATGACCCTAGCCAAATGCAAAAATAGTGAAATACAGTCAGAGAAGATGAGTAGCGACAAATGTCTGTGGCCTCCACCTGTAATACTATTCCTGTTTTGGGGGTTGTCTCATTGTTGCCCATCTAGTGTACCTGTTGTTAATTTCATTAACACCAAAGCAGCTGAAACTGATTAACAACCCCCTCTGCTACTTAATTGACAAGATCAATATCCCAGTTTCATTGACTTGATACTATACTCTGATTAAAAAGTGTTCCTAATTTTTTTTGAGCAGTGTATTTTAGAATAATATTATGTTGGTATGCTATACAGGCAATACAGCAAGCCCAAAGAATTGGTAGAACTATAGATCTGATCATGTACATCCAGTTTTTGCTTAAAATGGTTGTAAACCTCAGACATGTAATATGAACAAAACAAATCCCTCTATAGTGTGTCTCAATTAAAGTGTTAATAAACCCACAATAGTAAGGTCAGTCTGTATATGCAGTAAAGCATGCTTGTTATACTCACTGTGGTACCTAAGGGTTAATCCTCCACAAAAAGGCTGTTGGATCCTGTGTTCTCTGATCCTCCCCTTCTTCTGCTGTTCACAATCAATCTGCTGATAGTACAGAGCTCTAGTACATGCTCAGTTTAGTGTGTATGGCTAGCGTTTTTTTTTTTCTTTGGGAGGGTGCATGTAATCGGCACAGGGCCAATCAACACTGTCCAGACAGAGGGTCAGGGGTTATGCAGTCTCACAGGACAGTCAGAGCAGAATGAAAACTCCTCTTACAAGATTAACCAGTGCTCACCTGGACACTGATAGAAGTCACAAGACTGCTATATACTGCTGATGAGAAAAGGTATTTAGCAGTTTATACTTACTAAAATAATTGCATTTTCATGTTCTGTGTACTGTGGGATATCAGATGTAGTGAATGCAGGGTTCTGGGTTTAGAAATACTTCAAGAGTGTCATTTCTCTATGCCACCCCATTCTTCTGCTATTAGCATGAATCGCTTTTGACAATTATTCCTGACACCAAGAGAAAAATGGTGAAATGGGAGGGACCTCCAGCAGACTGACAGCCTCAGCTCTGTATCAGTGAGCTGTGTGGAGGGTGGGGGTGTGTCTCTTCCCTTTAATCAGCTTTCAAAGCTCTTTGAATGGATTATACTTAACTGAGGCTGATCTCAATCCAAGGCTGTGCACAAGAACAGCGGCTCTCCGGGCTACACTCCCTCCTCATGGGCCGTCAATCACAGCCAGAGAGGAGGGAGTGAAGGGTGGGGCAGAGCCAGCTCAGAAGAGAGCCCGCACAAGTACCCCTATAGCAAGCAGCTTGCTATGGGGGCACTCGGCAGGGGGGGGAGGAGCCAAGAGCGCTGGCAGGGGAAGAGGAGGATCAGGGCTGTTCTGTGCATAACTATTGCACAGAGCAGGTAAGTGTGGCATGTTTATTATAAAAACAATTATGGGTTTACAATCACTTTAAACGGAAGAATAAGGTTATGAAGTATATACTTCTATATGGGCATATAAGCAAAACTAGAAAACTGGTAGGAAAACAAATCTTAGCATCTGGTTCTGATTATATAAAATTAGGTTATAATTGACGTGCAAAGATTGTAGTTCTATGGCTTTGCTTTAAAGTGTTACTAAACCAAACCAGTACAAAGAACATGGAAATGCAATTATTTTAGTAAATATAAACGGCTAAATACCTTTTCTCATCAACAGTTAGAGCAGTCTTGTGACTATCAGCGCCCAGCTGAGCGCTGGTTAAAGCTTGTAGGAGGAGTTTTTATTTTGCTGTAGGAGAATGCAGAACCCCTGACCCTTTGCATGTGATCAGCACAGGGCCAATCAGCACTGTCCAGACAATCTCCCAAAAAAAAAAACCTCTCTAGTAATACACTGGAAGAGGACACTGGAAAAAGGGGAGGATCAGAGAAGTCAGGATCTAACAGCCTTTTTTTACACAGTGCAGAGGATTAACCCCCTAGGTTCCATAGTGAGTATAACAAGCACGCTTTTACTGCATATACAGACTGATTTTACTGTTGTGGGTTTAGTAACACTTTATTGCCTGCAAAATTGCCTGTTATTTTGTTAACAATTTCTTGCTGGCATTAATATTATTCTTTTATGCAAAGGTGGGTGGACATTTTGGGCTCTGTAGATTATTTTAGTTAACTCCTGCCTTTGTTTAAATTCATGTTACTGGTTACTATCACAATTATTATTCAAAATGATATAAGAAGAAGAGCTGGTTGATCAAGATGTGACTTCCCCATATATAGGATACAATTGTGAAATAGTCTGCTATACATTACATTACATTACATCGAGTTTATATAGCGCCAAAGGGTTTGCTCAGCGCTGTACAATAGAGGGGGGAACAATACATGAAACAGTACAGCAACTACAAACAGCACACGAGGGGTTAGAGGGCCCTACTCTTTTGAGCTTACAATCTAGGAGGGAGGGGGTAGTGGTACAGGAGGAAGTGGCTGTGGGGGATGGAGTGGTAGGAGGAATGAAGGAGAATGGCAGTTAGGTGAGGGTGGGGTAGGCTTCCCTGAAGAGGTGGGTTTTCAGGGAGCGCCTGAAGGTGAGGAGGGAAGGTGACAGTCTGATGGATTGGGGTAGTGAGTTCCAGAGGATGGGGGAGGACCTGGAGAAGTCTTGCAGACGTGCGTGGGAGGAGGAGACCAGGGGGCAAGATAGAAGGAGGTCCTGTGAAGAGCGATGATACCTGGGAATCAGGTTGGTGAGGTAGTTAGGGGCAGTCTTGTGAATGGCTTTGTAGGTCAGAGTGAGTAGTTTGAATTTGATGTATTGGGCGATAGGGAGCCAGTGGAGGGAGAGGCAGAGGGGGGTGGCAGAGGTGGAGCGGTTGGTGAGGTGGATGAGCCTAGCCGCTGAGTTCAGGATGGTCTGAAGCGGGGAGAGCCTGCACTGGGGTAGGCCGGTGAGGAGGGAGTTGCAGTAGTAATATTACAATATGACATATCACTCTGGTGTCATGTCCTTAGAAAGAACTCTCCCTCCTATCACTGGCTTGGCAATTATATCCAGAAATCTGTGTCCCGCTCTCCCAATTTCAGTGTGCAGTGTCCCTGGATATAGGAATCCCTATTCCTAAGCATTCTTTTCTGTTTCTCCTCTAATTCAACTCTTCAATGAACGGATAAACACTTACTGGTATTTAATGTAGAACTCAAGAGGTTCATTAAGGTCAACATGGCAAATGCTTCCGCTTTTAACAAAAACAAACATTGGTCGGATTTTGCTAAAGACTGCAAGCAAGCGTTGGAAGAGGCGGTATCCCTTTTGTGAATGAAATGTTATGAATGAATTGTTCTAATCGCCATCTGTTGTGTGACGTGTTAAAAATAAAACTATGACAGATTGCCACAGATCAGACTCTTCCACACAACTGCACTGAACTTCTGACCATAGGCCATTATGAGTCACTATAGAATCTGCGTACACTTTGATGCATGCCCATCTGTCATTTCATTTCTACCAATTCAATCTTGATGAGAACAGATATACAAGCAGACAAGGACTGGCATATTTTCTGCGGTGGTTTTCAATCCCTTTAGGGAATCTAATTTTAAGCAAAGCAAAGAGTAATTTTTGCTGTGATTTATTACTACTCTTTCTTTTATGTGGGAAAGTGAATGCATTCAGCCCATGTACACAATTTCCCCATGTTGTCCAAGGAAAGGAGATTGCAGAGACTCAAAGGATGTGAGAATAGGCACAGAGTGGCCCTAAGAAACATGCAACTGCAAGGTGACTGTCTCTGAAAAAAATCCTGCAAATGTGTAGGAAAGAAATCCCCTCAGCTGCCTTTGCATATTATTAAAACGGAGTTCCGCCCCCCCCCCCCCCCCAAAAAAGAAAATACTGTAGCTGCTGTCTTTTAATATTAGGGCACCTACCTGTCCAGGCATCCAGCAGTGTCCTTCAATTCTTCAATCGGCTGTTGGATACTGGCGCCACCATCTTGATTAAGGAAAAGCTTTGCGGCTTCACAGTTGGTCCCCTACTGTGCATGCGTGAAGTGTGCTGCACTTTGTGAATGGGCCGCAGTCCTCTGGGACCTTGGAAGTGTCCCAGAGGGCTGCGGGGGGGTCAACCGAGTTTGCCGCCGCGAACTGGGCCGAAAGTAGGAGCTAGGTATCTTCTCCCCCTTCCCCCCCCAAAAGGTGCAAAATATGGCAGCGGAGAGGGGAGGTGGCAGATAACTTCCACTTTTGGGTGGAACTCAGCTTTAAAGAGATACTAAACTGTACCTGAGCACCATAAACTGAAAACGCTATATTAAAGTGATTGTAAAGGCTCAAAGTTTTTTCCTTCATGCATTCTATACATAAAGGTAAAAAAACATGTGTGCACCAGTGCCCCCAGCCTCCCTAATACTTATCTGAGCCTCATCGAGATCCAGCGATGTGAACAACAGTTTCGGCTGTTCAGGGTCTCTGCCTCCTCATTGGCTGAGACAGTAAGTGGGAGTCATTGGCTGTCAATCACAGCCAGTCAGACAATGAGGAGAGAGTGGGTTCAGGGCCAAGCCGCAGCTCCGTGTGTGAATGGACACACAAAGCAGCAGTGTCCCCAGCCTCCCAATACGTACCTGAGCCCCATCGAGATCCAGCGATGTGAACAACAGCCTCGGCTGTTTCGGGTCTCTGGTTGGTCTCATCTTCGTAATTGATAGATTCTGCTGAAGAGCTTGTTCTCTTGAAAAACAGACTTACTGGCTGGATCACCAGATGAAAATAAAAGAAAGCCTAAAAAAGAAAATGAATGCAGCTGCAATAAAATAAATGTTTGCTTTTGGGTTTAAAGTGATGTTAAAGGGTCTTTTTGTTTTTAAATAACAAACATGTTATACTTACCTGCTCTGTGTAATGGTTTTACACACAGCAGCCCGGTCCCCCTCCGGCACTCCTCCAGTGCCCTCAATAGCAAGCTGCTTGTTATGGGAGCACTGGTGCGTGCTAGCTCCCGAGCCCCGCTCTATGCGGACACAAAGAGTCGTGGCTTGGCCCCACCCCAGCTCTCTCCTCATTGGCTCACTGGCTGTGATTGCCAATGGCTCCTTCTGCTGTGTCTCAGCCAATGAGGAGAGAGAGACCCGGGACAGCTGTGGCTCCCATGCACATCACTGGATCAAGAGGGGGCTCATGTGAGTATTGGGGGGGGGGGGGGGGCTGTGGGAGAAGAGAAAGCACACAGAAATTTTTTTTATTTCATGCATAGAACAATAATTTGAAGGTAAAAACCCTTTTTCCTTTATTTCCACTTGGAAATGCAATTATCTGTCACTGCTAAATAATTTTTCTCATCATCAGTATACAGCAGTCTTGTGACTTCTATCAGTGTCCAACTGAGTACTGGTTAAAGCTTGTAGGAGGAGTTTTCATTCTGCTCTGACTGTCCTCTATGAGACCGCAGGACTCCTGACCTCTGTCTGGACAGTGCTGATTGGCGCTGTACTGATCACATGCACTCTCCCAAAGAAAAAAAACCCTCTAGCCATACACACTAAACTGAGCATGTGCAGAGTGACTCTTAGAGCTCTGTACTATAAGCAGAAGGCTTGTAGACGAATGGGAGGATCGACGACAGTAGACGAATGGGAGGATCAGAGAACACATAACCCCTCACGCTTCACAGAAAGTATAACTTTACTGTATATAAAGAATGAGTTTACTGTTGTGGGTTTTAGTAAAGAACCCACCTACATCAGGCTGGTCAGTGTCCAGATTATTAAACCAGAATAGTCAATTATTTGTGAGCCTATCAACAATATGTAACTGTCTGCAATATTTACATGACGCAATGTCCAGGGGGTTGCAAATCTACAGAGCTCCCTGCTGAACAGTTAAATATTTTTACAGATCGTCCACTATCTACTAAATTTTCCAAAACCGATTACCCAGCAATGGCAGCAGCAATGCAAAAACAATAAAAACAATGTGTGTACCGTTTCAAAATGCCATATAGCACTTTGATCTTGCCATACCATTAAACTACACCTGCTGCAAAATATTTCATTTTAGTGGGATCGGAAAAAATCCTCGTAGCTTTAGGGAACAACACAGTAATAGGAATTCCCGGCAAATAATGAAATTTCAGCACTAGAGATAGGCCACTGGGATTACAGAAGGAAATGACTTAATAATATTTCTACTTCCAGCGTGCACAGGTTCTGATATTTCACACCTGGAACATGAAGTGACACTGAGAGCATGCTGGAGACTACTAGTAAACACTAGAAAAGGAAATCATACTTGAAATGATTCAGAACAATTGCCTTTGACTAATGAAAAGTGAGAGTGTAGTGCTGAGAATAGATAGCATAGGAGGTATAGAAAAGAAAACACATTTTTCGCTTGACATATATTGATCTCTGTGCAAATGCTATCTCATTAAGAGGACTGGTATTTTGAATGAGGTACCAAGATTGTGAGGGACTTTGTTTCCGCACTTTGCAGGTTTCTGTACAATACCATTAAGTAGACTTTGCTATATATTTATATTATTTTTATTTATTTCAGGTACTTAAATAGCGCTGTCAATATATATATTGTACATTCACATCAGTCCCTAACCATCAAGGAGCATACAATCTAAAGTCCCTAACTCACATTCATACATACACATACTAGGCCCAATTTAGACAGGAGCCAATTAACCTACCAGCATGTCTTTGGAGTGTGGGAGGAAACCGGAGTACCCAGAGGAAACCCACGCAGGCACAGGGAGAACACGCAAACTCCAGGCAGGTGGTGCCGTGGCTGGGATTCGAACCAACGACCCTAGTACTGCCAGGTGGAAGTGCTAACCATTTTGCCACTGTGCTGCCCCTATATATAAAATACGTAAGCGCACTGACATACAATATTTAGCAATATCATGGTAATGCAGGCCATACACGGAAAAATATTAACATTGGATATTGTTGTGGCACACTGTGAATATAAAAACACAGACTCATATTTACAGTGGAAGAAGAGCCCTACTCCTCGCTATTCTTAAAAACCTTCCTTCCCCCTACTCCTATCTATTGTGCATAACTTCTATAAAAATGATCTGTGTACTTAAAGTGGTTCTAAAGGTCATTTTTTGTCACTAAAATAATAATAAATATGTCATACTTTCCTGCTAGTTTTGCACAGAGCCCTGATCCTCCTCCTCTTGGGTCCCCATCCCCTTACTTAGTGCCCCCAGGAGCAACCTGCTTGCTGTGGGGACACTCATGCCTGCTCGCGTGTCATGTGATCCAGCTGTTCCAAATTACCTGAGTCAGCGAGCTGCTGCTGCAGGGGAGAGGAAACCACAGACAATGGCTGTGCCATGGGAGCCTATGGGTGATGACACAGCTCCCGGAATTCACAGCCATTGGTGAGTGCTCTCTTACATAGGGGAAGCATTACTGCTGTAAATTACGTGACTGGATTGGATTAAACGAAGGTAAGTACACAGATCTTTTTTATACAGTGTATGTAGCATAAGTAGGAGGAGGAGGGGGGAACGTTTTTAAGAATAGTTAGCGTTAAGCTGGCCATAGGTGATCTAATCTTGACTGTTGGACCAATTGAGACTCGAGCCATCTATGGGCAGGCGGATTGTACCAAAGTTGATCCATCAATAGACTTGGGTACAACCAGCACGTCGGATTTTTAGCATGCGATTACTGCCCACAGCTATAGCAGCTATAGCCACTTGCAGTAATCATTGTATTCTGCCAGCCAGGAAAGCTCCCTGGCAGCAGAACACAAGAGCACTGCAGGAGGAATTCCCCCATCAACACTGATTGTGCTGATGAGGGAATCGAGTGATTTTCTTTCCTTCCACCTGTGGTGGAGGGAAATAAAACAGATTAATCTTTGGCTTGCTTTAGGCTAGGGTCACATCTGTGCGGGTGCAGCCACACTACATGCATGCACAGAGAAATGCGGACCCCCGGGCGGGTGCCATTAATTCTAATGGCACATCGCCGGCACTGGAAAACACAACTGTACTGGGAAGAAGAAGTGCAGGCACTTCTTCCCTGTGTGTCACGGGGCACGAAAGTCCATTCAAATGAATGGGCTCTCGTGCCGCGCAAAATGTGACCTGCATGGCCGCATATATGTGAACCAGGGCTTACTACCACTTTAGAGTCCGTCACTCATTGACACTAGTTAGGATCCATGCACACTGGACGTTTTGACAACGCTGGTAACATTAGCTGTGTAATGAGTTTTTCAGCTTTTTTTTTTTAAGCATTTTTGCATTAGCGCTTAGTGGTGTTTTCCCGCATTTGAGGTTTTTAGCATTTTTTTGGGGGTCAAAAAAGGTCCAAAAATGCCAGTTTGTGGCATTTTACCGCATTGTGCTGCGTTTTTCAGCGTTAGAGCATTTTTACAGCTAAAAAACTCCTCTAGAAATCCACTAGTCATGGGTTTTTTTTTACTAGCCATAAAACGTTGATTACAGTCTATGTGTGCATGGACACATAGGATAACATGCTGGGGGGTTTTACTGGCTGTAGAAAAACACGTCAAAAGCCAAAAACAGCCGCTGTAAAAACGTCCAGTGTGCATGAGGACTTTATTATCTCTAATCGCAGTAACTACTATTGCAGTGATTTTAAAGCATAAATGCTCCAATTAAAAAGTTTTTAAAACTTTAAAAAAATTCCAACAGCTCCTCTTGCCTAGCCCCTTCAATACAGTATATATATTACATCCTCGGCCTACAGGACCTGACTTACCTTAAGTACTGGTTATTGTCTCCTGTGCTGTCTGCAGCATGGCAGGAAAAAATGTACTTACCGGGCTGCCCACAACTGCACACTTACAGCACTTCTCCTAGATTTGTATAGGACATACCCATATTGCAGGGGTGGGCAACTGTGGCCCTCCAGCTGTTGTAGAACTACAAGTCCCATGAGACATTGCAAAACTGACAGTTACAAGCATGACTCCCAAAGGCAGAGGCATGATGGGACTTGTAGTTCACCAACAGCTGGACGGCCACAGTTGCCCACCCCTGCCACACTGTATTCAAGTACATGGGACAGCACGGTACATAGCACTAGGTTTTCACCAGCTGGGCAGTGGACAGCACACGAGGATGCAGTCTTTAGAGAAGGCAATTAAAGATCTTTGGGCAAGGTGCAGTTTACTGTACTGGGTGGGAGGCTATGTTTATTTTTTTTTGTTTGTTTGCTTTTTCAAAAAGCTATGCATGGTTACTCTAAAGCTGGCCATACACGGGTCGAATTCCGAAAGAATTTTATTTCGAAAATCTTTTCTAAGAATTGTAGTTCAAATTTTGCACCATTATTGGGTCACAGAAACGGGCAATTTTCGTGTAACCATCGAATTTGATTGGGCATGTTGGAAATTTTTTGAAAAACGAACGAATTTCGAATCAATGATGGAAGAATCGTGAGGGAAATATATAAACGAAAAAGAAATGACCATGAGCTGGGACCTGGAAAGAAAATTCTTGGCCACGAAAATTCTTTTCTGTAGCAGCATTAAATAAAATTGAAGGCTTGGTTGGTTGAATTTCAAAATCAATGGTGGCTTCATCGGGTTACAAAACACACAAATTTCCAATTTTCTAAAGAAAATTAGTCCGGAATTTGACCCATGTATGGCCTGCATTAGGGCTCATGCCCACTGGCACACAAAATGTAGCATATCCATTTAGCATTTTTTTTTACTGATCTAAACACAGTGGTGGTGTATTCTATGGGTCTATGCACACAGGTGTATAAAGATCAGTAAAAGTGGAACTACACTTGATTACTAAAATACTGCAAGCAGGCAGCTCTTATTGCAGAAGAGACATGCTAAGTGCACAGGCCCAAGATTACATCATTCTCTGATAGACCAATCAAGAGGCCGAAAACATGGCACCCTGAAGTACCCAGTGAGAAGATGACAGCTATGTATTAAAACCACATCATCATTCAGTATTTCTGTGAGTTTAGGTCCACTTTAACTTGATTCAGATCCGTAGACAATGCATCTAAGGTCCTGCGTAAACATTTATAACTTTTACTTGTGAACAGTGCTACTGCAGACATGTAGTCTATTGGGGCCGTCTGCTTTCAAACAACAGAAGAGCACTAGGCGATTGCCTTCAGAAGCTGCTTACATCCTATCAAAAAAAAACGATGCTAGTTAGCCACCTGCATTCTGACAACAGAAGTCCTCTTACAACTCTGAACCCATGTAAACCTTGCTCACATTGCATGCATACAGTGGACTTTTTACCCAGGTATCTTGCTGCCAGCAACATCCCTAGTACTAGCATTTTCATACTACCATGTACATGTACCCTAAGGCTACGTTCACACTAGCGTTGTGTGCAGGCGGCAGAAAGGCGTTTGGGAAGTGTTTTTACCGCTTCCCAAATGCCTCGGACAATTCTGCACATTGCAGCACATGGTGCTGTTCTAACGGGAGCGTTAGCGTTGCAGCGTGGCGCAGCAAAACGGATGCCTCTGGTCGAGTCAGGAGGCGTTGAAGCCTCCTGTTCTAGTCTATGGTGCCGCTCCGCAAACGCCCAGGCCGACGTTTGCGATGTGGTTGCGACGTGGTTGTGGGGTGTTTGCGGAGCGGTAACACCATTCAAACTTCATTATAGGCATTTGTAGGGTGTTTTTAACGCTCAGCAAACGCCTAGCAATCACCGCTGAACCACGCATGTGGTATTTGTGGAGCATTTGCCGAGCGTCAAAAAACGCTCCGCAAACGCCGGACCAATGTTTGCCAAATCCTATAGGGGCGTTTGGCAAGAGTTGGTAAAACACTCAAGTGTGAACGAGCCCTAAAGCTGTTAGGCATGCCACCCTGGGCTCTGCAGTGAATATCTAAATCTGAAAGTCACTCATTGAAATCTCCTTCTACCACCTACAACCCTCTTGTATCCCTCTTGAATCACCATCCCAGCAGACATGTTCTTGACCCAATTTAGGCTACTCTTGCAGGTGACTAGGGCCACAAAGTAAATCATAGCAAAGGACTGCAAATCCCCCACACTTAACGTGGTGGAGATCAAAGGTAGGGTTCTGCAAGCTATGATCCATGCTAAATATGAAGCTATCTTATTAGATATAGCCATGCAAACATCTGGCAGCCTAGGTGGACCACTATCTTCCCCCACATTCTGACGTCTTCTCGCTGCTCTCTTGATGACTACTTTTTGACCTTGACTCCTTTTTGCTCTTCACACTGTATTTTCCAGTAGACCCCCGGGAACCCTTCCCCTTATACCTCCATCCTTCTCCTCCCCCCTCCCCTCTTTCTTTTACTAAACCAAAGCTGGGAAGTGTGTAGAAGGAACTCTAATTTATTCAGATTGCTGTTATCTTCATCCTAGATGAGATTGAAAACACATCTGAACTGCTCATCTCCTATGACTTCCTTACCTATCCCAGCGGGACTTCACATACTCTGTTGTCCTTGTTACTTGTTAATCCAGAACACTGACAACTTTCATTGCTGTATTGTGTCTTTGTAACTGGTTGACTAAATAGATGTGTTCTCTGTAACCCTTATAACCCCATGTAATATGCTGCTATGCACCAGCCCCCTGCACATCTTGAGCCCCCCACCCCCGTGACAGCGGGCAGGGGTCCTCTCCCCAGCAGCCACTGTCACATTTAAAATTGATAAATCTGTGTGCATCATTCATTCACAGCAACTTATAGATGAACTACAAGTACTGTCTGTCATCGCGGCAGGTGGGCTTGTAGTTTTCAATGGACTATCAGGGCGCTGTCCATAGACACTTCCTGAGGCTCAGCCTGTATGGCGGTAAGGGCAGAGTGCTGTAGGAAGTGTCTGCACGAGTCTGACATTGCACCTGCCATCCACTGATTGTGGGTGCAATGGTTTGCAGGCTTCGGTGCAAAAAAATAATAAATAATAATTTTTTTTATCTGCAAAAATGTGCATTTATTATTTATTTTTAACAAAGTTGAACTTAACCTTGAAATTTGATTGGTTGCTATGAGTTTTTCATAATCATTCCACTAGTTGTCTTTACTTACTTGGAAAGCTCAAGCTATTTTCATTTAGCAGGGTCTCTTTAATCTGATTCTATTTAATGAAAAACATTCTTCTGTCATTCCGTCTGAAGCTTCTGACTTAATACCTCGCCCTAAGACTGCAGTTTATATTGAGATTCTGTACATGTTTAATGTATTTTAGTTAAATTCTACAAGGAAAGCTATAATACATGCACATATTTTATAAGTCCATTCTAGCAAAATTAGATGTGAACACACTCGGTATAGGTTGGGAAAAACTGAATGACACAGAAATGATATACTGATTCCAATATAAGCCTCTGAATACAAAGAACATTATAAAACGTAGAAATATCACATTGAATATACTGTGCGGTTTCAATAGCGGTGTGCATGGGCATTTTAGACTGCAAATAAAAGATCTGGACAGCAAGAATTACTGGATGAAAAATAAGTAAATAGACGCCAATGCCAAGTCATCAAACTAAAGAAAGCAGAGTGATAAACCGCCCCGCAGATGTTAATCCTCCTGTCTGACCACAGATGCATGGTATGTTCTCTGGCACCAACAGGCACCTCCACAAGAGATGCATGGCATGTTCTCTGGCACCAACAGGCACCTCCACAAGCTGGTTTGCTGTACTTACTTGCACATGCTTTGCTGCCTCTTTGTCATTGTAACACCATAAATTTGCTGAAGTGAGTTAGGGTCCTTAACCCCGAGTTCCCAGAGCTAAGTAAATGTTTCTTATTTACTTTTCAGAGACATCCTGGAAACCTAACACAATGATCTAACCAACTCCGACATCTGTTTACTATCTATCCACCTGCTTTAATAAGGTAGCTGGCTGCAAATCCCCTTCATACATGGCAAGATGCCTGGATAAATATTCTCATTTCACCAGACTCCAGGCTAGCGTCTGTTCCAGCACGCTGTCCATGTGTCACCTGCTAGCAAATAGCCTCCTCTTCAAAAAGGATGCCTGTTGAAACAAAGCTCGATGCAGTGCGTATTCCAACCGTAACTTCGTAACTTCCTTGCAGTATGGACAGCAGTTGTAAAATAAATCCTGAAAATCCCACATGATGACCTTATAAAACAGTTACAGACTCAACAAATACAGGGATAGTCAAGATTCATATGGGAAGTACTATGATCAATCCTGTAAGTGGACGCTAGACAATCTCTTCTAAAGTGACACTGAAGTCTGCTTTAAAAAACATATTCTTTCCAAGTATGTATTCTTAATTCACAAAAGTACTTTCTATAGCTCCCTTCCAAATCTCCAAATTCCCTTTGCTGTGATCCAGTTTCCTGTTAGTGGGTGGCTACATTCGTTCACCATGGTCCCACTGTATCAGTGTTAATTTGGACATCAAATTTCGATTTAGTTTTAGTCATAGTGTTTTGACTCAAATGTAATTTTAGTTTTAGCCGTATTTTAGTCATCTGAATTGTTCTAGTTTTAGTCGTTTGTTATTTGACAAAAATCTCCAGTACATTTTAGTCGACTAAAATCATTTCAGTCAACTAAAATCTAATCGGTTTAGTTAGTGTTACTAAACCCACAACAGTAAAATCAGTCTGTATATGCAGTAAAGCATACTTGTTATACTCACTGTGGAACCTAAGGGGTTATTCCTGTGTAAAAAGACTGTTTGACCTGGACTTCTCTGCCCGTCCTCTTGTTCAAATGTCCATGTCTTGTCTCCTGATAAGACAGACTGAACCCATAGCCCTTCTGCACATGCTCAGTTTAGTGTGTATTGCTAGAGAGGGTTTTTTTTTTTTCTTGGGAGGGTGCATGTGATCAGCACAGGGCCAATCAGCACTGCCCAGACAGAGATCAGGGGTTTTGCATCCTCCTAGAGCAGAAAGAAAACTCCTACAAGCTTTAACCAGTGCTCTGCTGAAGTCACAAGACTGCTCTAACTGCTGATGAGAAAAGGTATTTAGAAGTTTATATTTACTAAAATAATTGCATTTCCATGTTCTGTGCACTGTGGGAGATATAGTAAATGCAGGGTTCTGGGTTTAGTAACACTTTAATTAAGAGCAATCAGACTCACTGTGGAATCTAAGGAGTTAATCCTCCATATTGTGTAAAAAGGCTGTGTGATCCTGTCTTCTCTGATCCTCCCCTTCTTATGCTGTCCCCAATCCATCTGCTGATAGTACAGAGCCGTGGGGGCAAACTGCACATGGTCAGTTTAGTGTGTATTGCTAGAGAGTTTTTTTTTTCTTGGGAGGGTGCATGTGATCAGCACAGCACCAATCAGCACTCTGCAGACAGAGGCTCAGGGTTATGCAGCCTCATAGGACAGTCAGTGGCAAATGAAAACTTCTCCTACAAGCTTTAACCAGTGCTCTGCTGGACACTGAAAGAAGTCACAAGATTGCTATATACTGCTGATGAGAAAAGGTATTTAGCAGTTTATGTTTACTAAAATACTTGCATTTCCATGTTATGTGTACTGTGGAAGACCACGTATTGTGAATGCAGGGTCCTGGGTTTAGTAACACTTTAAATTGTTACCCCTGGTTCACATATCTGTGTTCCGCGGTCCGCGTTTTGTGGGGGCACAAAAGCCCATTCATTTGACTGGACTCCCATGCCCCGGGACACCTCGGTTACCAGTATGGTTGTGTTTTCCCAGTGCGGGCGGATTGCCATTAGAATTAATGGCACCTGCCCGTGGGTCCGCATTCTTCTGCGCGGGTGGTACGGCTGAACGAATTTTTGTGCGGATCCGCAGCGGCACCACCCACACATATGTGAACCTAGCCTAAGCAGTATTTAATGCTAGAATGTATTATGTATTTACTCCTAATAAAATTATGGTGTTCCAAATTCAGGTTTTTTTTTTGTTTTTTTAAATAGGAAACACGTCATACTTACCTGCCCTGTGCAGTGGTTTTGCACAAGCCCTGACCCTCTTCTTTTCGGGTCTCCGCTGGTGCTCCTGGCTCCTCGCCCTTGCGCAGTGCCTCCAAGGAAAGCCACTCATCCTGGGAGCGGTGTTTGTCCCCAAGTGGCTGCTTTATGTGTCCATAAGGCTCACAGAGTCGTGGTTTAGCCTCACCTCCTGCTCTCTCCTCATTGGCTCACTGGCTGTGAGTGACTGCTGTATCAGCCAATAAGATGAAGAATCTCCAGACAGCAGAAATTGTTGAAAACGTCGCTGGATCGGAGGGGGCTCAGGTAAGGATTGGGGGGGAGCTTAAAGGAGCGCTGCACACAGGTTTTTTACTTTCATGCATAGAATGCATGAAGGTAAAAAGCCTTGAGCCTTTACAACCACGATAAGGTTTGAACAAACGACACAGACAGAGATTTGGCCATTTTATAACATCTTTATAAGTAAAACGGCCCTCCCTCCCATTTTCATTCTTTTTTCGTTCATTGACGAAAATTGGAATTGATTTTCGCCAAAGTTTTCATCAATAGACAAGAATTCGGAGTTATTTTCGTTTAGGTTTCGTCACTGGAAATATGCTGCTGATGAAAATGATGCCAAAAATAATTTAGTAGTTGAAATTAACACTGCACTGTATGTAGGAGTGTAGCTACCCACTCTTGTTCATTCTTTTAGATGGACTACAGACCATGGGATGTGTAGTGTGCATAGAGCAGTGCAGGTTGTCACAACTAACATGCACTGCTCAGTCCAAACAAATGGATGTGAGGAGGAAAAAGGAGAGGGTTGCGAGCTCAAGAGGACATTACAAGAAGAAAACTACAGTAAGAAAAGATTTCATGAAAAATAGGTTACAGGGCTATTAAAAGAAGTGTGAGAATAGAAAATAAAATTTTTAAACTTACCTATGTAGATGTCTGCAGCATCAATCTGATGCTGCAGGTTTCCCCCACCAGCTCTACATCAAGAAGTAATCAAAGACTGCTGATTACTCAGATCTTGGGTCCGCTCTGAGCAGAGAGCAGTGGCTATTATTTCTCCATCCAGTTACTGTCCTATTTGGGCATTTGGGTATGTGATTGGTCCAGCTTTGTGATACTAAAGAGGGATTACTTAAAGTGGTTGTAAACTTTAGACAAGAAATAAGAACAAAGCTTGTACCTCTTTAGTGTATTCTTGTCTTAATTAAGAACACTGAGTGTCATTTCTGTCTGCTGCTTCATTCATCTGCTATCAGCATGAATCACTTCTGACAAGTTTTTCTGACACCAATAGAAAAATGGTGACGGGGAGGGGCCTCCAGCTGATTGATAGCCTCAGCCCTGTTCACATGAGTTGTGTGAAAACGGGGGATGTCTCTTCCCTCCAATCAGTTCCCAGAGCTCTCCTCACTGAGCTCTGTAGGGTGTCATTTCAGCTCTCTGTCCCCTTTTTACAGAACTCTCAGACAAGTTTTATAAACTTCAGCACTCTGAACGGATGTAGAGAAGAGAAGACTGCAGATAGACAGGTACAACCTATGTAGTAGGATTTGTTTCCTCTCTGTGTATCACCTGAGGCCAGTCAATTCACTGGGTATATGTAAAGGTTTACAACCACTTTATGTCTTCATTGAATTCTTCCAGCACACCCAACAAACACTGACCAAAATGGATCTATGAACTGTAAATACATATAACAAGACTAAAAGCAGATGTAAAACCAGAGAATGGAGAGTGTCAGAGCAGCATGTGGCTTGTCAGGTGGCATGTAAAAGTTCTTTCTGAAACTAATCATGTTCCAAGCCCCCTACTAATTGAAGAAGGGATACTAAAAAAAAACACCTTTGTGTCTGATGTATGCTTGTTTCTATGACCTACAGTATGTATCCATGAGTTTCATTACTACGTTGAAAGGGCAAATCAAGTAAAAAAATATGTAGGCTGCCATTGCTGACCATTTTCTAAAAATGCTCATTGTCTGGCTGTCTGTTCCATGAATGATGAGTGTCCTTTGTGCTGGATACTCCGTTGCTTGAAACATTCATTCCTTTTCCCCCCAGATACCACCACAGCTGTGATCTCCAGTTGCTTGGGGGATTATGATAAGCAGCTCCACCTGTCACAGGCACTAGTAAAAAATGCCAGGTATGCCACCATTTCCGCCCCCCTCTCCGATTCTTTAATAGAAGCTGTACTATCAGGTCCCACAATGAAAAGCATTCTATGATTGGAGGACAGTCAGATGATAAAAGGTCCATCTCCTCCATTCATAGAGATCTTTTTGTTCGGGGAAATGATAGTATAACTTATATGAATGGAGCAGGGATGCAGAACGGGTGGGCACTTTTGATGGGTGCCTGTGACAGATGGAGACACTCGGTTTAACCCTCCCAGCACCAGAAGATCACAGCTGCAGGGCTATCTGGGGGCAGAAGACTGAAAAGGTCAAGGAACATAGTAACAACCAGAGCACAAGACAGTCACAGCCTGCACTTCAAAGATATCCTTCCTTTGACTGTCATATCACTGGAGGGCTTAGGTGCTGTTTTTGACATTAGACGTTTCATATCAGCCCCAGCACTGTCTTGTCTACAGCTAAAGTGTGGAACTCACTAGAAGAAAATCAGATGAACGATCGTCCGATTTTCTACGAAGATGCATATCATGATGTAACTGACAATGGTATTAACTTGAAAATTCATGAAGGACAAAGGAAACATTCTTTCAGGTGTATGATTTCTTTGTTTCTTGCCACTTTCTTTCAGGTCGTACTCTGCTTCTGATCGTGTGTGTTTTTTTTTTCTAATAAATGGTTTCCATATGATTACTGTATGCCTTGAGTGAAAATTGGACTTTGTGTTCACGTAAAATAAACATTTTCTAGCTTGCACCTCCGTTTTTTTTTCATCCGAACAGTTGGAATCGGCTGTCAAAAGCACTATACTAAAGAACAGATAATCGACCAATCGTTCCTTGTCCAGAATTTTTCTAATGGTGTGTACCCAGCTTAAAAACTTGACACATGCTTGAAGAATAGAAATGTTCACGTTACGTGAGAAAAAGAAAGGATAGCAGGTCCATTACAAGACTTTTCAACATCCCATGTCCAATGTAACTTTTAGGGGTATATAAACTCTAACAATGAACATCTCTTATTTGCTTCCTTTTGGGCTTTTTAAATATGCCAGTAAATGGATTTTGTTTTATACTGCATGTTTTATAGGTTCAACAAAATACCTTTTGATCCTACCACAAATCTTAAGAGCCGATAACTTCCTATGCTGCGCTATTATCAGTTAGCATTATTCCTAACTCTAGGAACTATAGAACAGCACCCCCTATGTTACAGACTTGAGGAGAGGAAGGGAGCGATCGTAGTCCTAACCCATGTACTGTTTTGGGGTGATAACACTTCTGCTTCATAGATAAAGTACAGTGAGTAAGCGTTGTCACCCTGGGACAGAATAACCAGGTGAAAATAAAGGAAGAGAAGCCAGAAACAAATGAATGCAGTCACCACATCTAAGAACTAGTAAGCTGCAATATATTACGTTTTTTGGGTTTAGATATGCTTTATTAATTCTGAATGTGGTATAATGTAGAATATGAAATATTTGTTTTTCATAGGGACTCAACTACTACGGTTGAACAGAAATGTCTTTAGAACATGACAGGGGTGCTAATTATGTTATTAGGATTTTTAGTGAAGGCCTAGAGTCCTAGGAGTGTCAAAGAACAGAACAACTGTGAATCTGGTGAGCTCTTCCAGAGTCATGATAAGCGTAGCAGCAATTGCTTTCACTTAACCCTGTAATTAAGGATCGTGTAACTGTCACTTAACATACAAGTCACACTACTGCTTTCTCTATAACTGCATGTAAACGTAAGCTGCAATACTAATAGAACTGTACTGTATATGAACGACTGATCTCTGAGAACATGAAAATACCCGTAACAGGTTACTTAACCACTTCAAGTCCGAACACTTTCACCCCCTTCCTGTCCAGGCCAATTTTCAGCTTTCAGTGCTATCACACTTTGAATGACAATTGCAACACTGTACCCATAAGAATTTTTTAGCATTTTTTTAGACAGATAAAACTTTATTTTGGTGGTATTTATTCACCACTGGGATTTTTATTTTTTTTGCTATATAAATGAAAAAGTCCAAACATTTTGAAAAAAAGTGTTTTTCTGATAAAACTTTGCAAATAAATAATCTTTCTTCATAAATCTTGGCCAAAATTTATTTTTCATCTTTTTAGTTAAAAAAAAAATAATCCAAATTAGTTTTTAACCAAAAATTATAACTTTTCAAAAAATGTTTTTACAATTTTATTTTATTTTTTTTTTCTATTATTATTTATGTTTTTTTTATTTTAACATACTGTCACCCTAGCAGTACAGTGTCACCATAGTGACACTGTACTGCTTGTGGGGGGTGATGAAGATTTTTTTTTTTTACACTGATTGTTTCACACCCATAAAGGCTGTAAAAGCAATAATTTCTCCTTCTCTCTGGCTGCATTTTTGCAGCCATTGAGAAATACTGTGAGAGCTGTGATTGATCACAGCTTGTCACATGGTACAAAGCTGTTTAGAATAGCTTTGT